AAATAGTGATTTCCTCTTCAAAGGGGAACACAGTTTACCAAGATATCTTAGATACACAGGCCAGTAAACAGATGTAATGCACACCATTTAATAAATAAATATGGCATCTATTTCAAATATGAAGTATTCACTATAATAATGTTTCTAGTAATAATAATAAAAAACTATATAAAAATATACAGTTATTGTTTTTTTTATAACTAACATTAATTCAATGTTCATGCTAAACAATTTAAACAACTTTTAATAATTTAAAATGGGTAAAATTGATTATAAAGATGAGCAACTGGATCTATTTATAGACATTTCCTGTTTTAAAATACAAATTGGACAATTCTTCAGCAGACTGAGTTTATATAGAGAAGTTTACTCTTATCGTAAAGAAACAAACAAAAAAAAAAAAAAAGGGAAAGATTTTTGAATATTTTTAAAAAAACAATGCAATTACAAAATTACTATTTATCTTTGAGCTAAAAATAATTTAAGATGTAAATTATGGCATTTCACTTGCCATAGTTAAAATAACAGAAAATTCTATTTTTTTTCATTGCATTATACCCCCAAAAGATATCCTTCCAACCATTTACATTATTTACAGTGTTCAGACTGTTGTCCTCATCCTCGTTGCCATATTCACGATGTTTTGGCCATTGTACGCTCGTGCCTTCTTCAAGTGACTGGAAGTTTGAACTGAACTCTTTATTTTGTCTACTGGGGTAGATTGTTCTAGTTCCACGAGCCATGCCTCTTCCATATATCTCAGTATAATCTCCCTTAAACTCAACTCTCCAAGTTTTTGTTCACCTCAACTGTAGCCAGGTATTGAACTTAAAACTCTTTTGAGTTTGGCAATGAAGATAAGGACAATATGAACAATATAAATAAGTACAATAACTCATCGCAGAAATATAGACAGAACTTCCAAACGTATTGTGAAATCTGGTAAATAAATAAACATACATTACACACACACACATATATATATATATATATATATATATATATATATATATATTTTTTGCATATATTAATAATATTGCACTTTTTTTTTTTTTGTTAATTTCATTTCTTTGGATTTTTAAAATTAAATTAAGCTTCTACCCCCTGAGGTGGATAAGAAATTATGACAGCCATTTGAACTTTACCTATAAATAAAACATCACAACAAAATAACTTTCAGAGGTGTGTGTGTGTGCATACAAAAGATTTTGTTAAAAAAAAAAAAAAAAAAAAAATCACAATTTCACAAAAACTTAAAAAAAAAAAAAAACTTAAAAAATATGCAAGGAATATTTTTGTCATCCACTTTTTGTATAATATAAAGAATATATGTAGATAGTTGCTATCAGCACATCCACATTTTTGGGTGTGTGTAAATTCAAATATAAATAAAATATCTATAAAAGACAATAGGAATATAGTTGAAAGGAAAGCTTTTCTTTACTGATGCATTTTGTCCTCTCATGGACCTTATTAAGATAAATGTAAGGATTTTAGTTTGCAACATGTATTTATAAACAGAAAGTAAAAAAAAAAACAAAACAAAAAAACAAACTTTGTTAGGTTTTTAAAATGATCAAAAATATTCTTAAGGCTAACTGAAAGTCAAGGTAAACTATAGGGGATGCTATGTGATGTAATTTAATGTTTAATAAATGAAAGTGTGTAAGGTTGTGAAAATTCACAGGACTCCTCATGGAGCAAAATAAAATCCTTCCATTTGCTCTGATAAAGTTCAGAGTATAAAACACATTGGCAAAGAAAAGTATATATATATATATATATATATATATAATTATTTTTATAAAAAAAAAATTTATAAGTATGTTATAAAATCACTACAAAAATAGCCATTTTGTTTCAACACACTCTGTGTCTTATCAAGTGATGGTGTTGAAAATAAAATAAATGGTTTTAAAAGTTTCAGATTAATTAACGATCCTACACTAGGGGGAGCATTGTTACAAAAGCTAGAATAACCAATCAAAAACGAAGTACAGAAAGATTCAAAAGCTTGACAACAAAATCCTGCTATTATAGCTATTTAGATCTTTAAATACGTGTAATATTAAAAATAATTTATACTAACTAATAATTATAAATTTATATGATAAAATTTAATATTAAAATTAAAAACTGGCAATTTTTAAAATCCAAATTTAATCACTATTAAGTTTAAAAACTACAAAATTATTGAGAAAAGAAAAAAATATATATGTTTATTCAATTCATTTCTTCATTGAAATTACGTCTGACAAGACAAGACGCTACAATTCGTCCGGTCATCTGATAATACATGTATATATATTTTTTCTTTTCCGTTTTTATTTTAAAGTTTGTGAATATGGTCTTAAACTCACGCGTGACACAACAAAAACACACAATCAGATTATAATACATAAGCATCCAGACATAATTAGATACATACACATATATATATAAACACACACACACACACACACTTCAAACAATAAAGAATATTGAAAAATTAAAAAATTATGTTTGTGTTTTACTCTTTAGTAAATTTATCTGGTTGTGTTTTTACTTTTTATTAAATATATATGTATGTATGTATGTATATATAATGACTGCCATCTCCAAGTCAAATATAACCATTGCAAGACATACACACTGCATTATGCTTATTTAATTATAATAAAACCTTCTTCCAGCTGATGCTTGTTTATCTAAAGAAAATTCCATTTTATTTTAAAACCTGGGTTTAATTTTACTTCTTTTTTAGAAAGATACTTTAACTCAAGTGTACAGAAGACACTTATATCATATGACAATTCTTAATTGAACAACTAACAGGTTTCTTGCTTAAATAATTATTCTACAATTGTATCTCTATTAAAGTTCTTCAATAAAATGTATGAAATTCTTATAAATTAGGTATTTGGTAATAAAAAAATAAATAAAAAAGTAAGTATCAAATTCCACTTTTTAGTGCAATGGCAAAAATATTTTATTCTCGGTTTGAATCCAATCACATTTTTAATTATGCAATTACTTTTCAGTAAAACATTCCAGGTAAATATATATGCAAACATTTTATTTACCAGAAGAGAATATGTTAGAAAAATATATCTTAAAAATAAAGAAAATTTAACCCTTGACAACTATGTTGTATTGCTAGTCTGGCAACCAGATAAAAGTGCCCGAAATAAGATGTAGTATCAAAAGGACGGTTTTTCCTAGGACACCGCTTTTTAAACCATCTCCACTCTTCGCTTCGGCAATGTTTACCGTTTTAAAAAGTGATGATTAGAAAACCTAAACATGTCATGAAAGTGAATTTATTCATTTTTTTTTTGTTCTTGAGAATTTACATAAAAAATATTAAACACGGTTTATTTATTAGATGGTTTATTTAGACTATTTATTTTAAATGTATTATTGTTTATATTGGAATAATTGACAAAAAAACATCGACTAATTGCCAGTTGATACAAACTTTATAAAATGGTAAATAAGGATTTTCTTACAGTTGGTTCACATATTTTAACAATTTAGTAAGTGTTTATAAATATGAATAAAAAGATTGTTTTCACATTTATTTCTTTATAAACTTATAACTGATAAATATTGCACTGCATTTTATTTCCTATTTTTTGTTTTATTCTTGTAAAACTTGTATATAAACAACCTAATAAAATTTAATATTTTTATTGTAAATTCTCAAGAACAAAAAAAATGTATAAATTGACTTTCATGTATTTACTTTAGTTTTTTTTTTTATTACAGTTCTAATCATCGCTTTTTAAAACTAAACTTTGCCAAAGTGTGACGGTAGTTAAAAAAAAAAAGAAAAGAGGTGTTTCATGGAAAAAACCGTCCTTTTGCCACTCTGTCTTATTGCGAGCACGTTTGGTTTCTGTTTGCTGCTGCTAAGTCTTTTCGAAAAGAAATCAAATGAAATGTGCATTACTTTTGCTAACAGATTTTTGTCCAAAATTAGAGTACATTTCTGGATTAAAATTACTGTAGTGTAGTGTATTATTAGAATTATAAAAGGAAAAAAAAAAGAAGATATTTTGTCTTTTTAATAGTCTGTAATTGTCTTTTTAATTCTTTAGGATAAAAAGAAATTAAAGCAGTGTGGGTTTTTGTACTCTGATTTTAAATACAGTAAAACCCATTTTTCTTTCAATGTTACTGTTAGTGTTACTCGTTACGCAATACATTTACCACACCCTCTTTTTTGTTAAATAACAACATAAAATATTTTATACATTCTGTTTAATTATCTTCAGACAACAAAAAGGTAATAGAAGAGAAAGAAGGGAGTGCGGGTAAAACTGAATTAGTACTTTTGTAAAAAGAAAATAAATGACTTTTATTTTATAATCTGAATAAAAAATAAAGAAAGGGACTACTTTTATAAACATAAAATAAAAATTAACCATTTTTAATATTTAAGTTATAAATCTTTTTCAGAAAGATGTCATATCAGTGTACTATAGACTGTATGGTGATCTAGGTACCTTCATGATATGATGATACAAGAAGTTAGTTATTATTATAAGTGAAACAATTTCAAAAAAAGAAACATGGAGATGTTGCTAAATTATTTAAAACTTTTTTTTTTGGAACTTATGAAAATTCTTTACTAATTTTTGACCTGAAAAATATAAAAATAAAAGTCTCCTTGCAAATTTCCACATTCATAATCATACAAAATTTCCAGGTTGGAAAACTTAAATAAATTTTACATAAATTTAAATAAAATGACCTGAGATTTCTGCTTGCTCATGTATTGTAAGGGAAAAAAAAATAATACAATATCTGATACCAATTAAATGGCTGGGTCATCAAGTGAATAAAAAAAGAAAACAAAACAGAAAATTAGTAAGAAACCTGAGAAAAAAAAGAGAGGAACTGTAGATTTAAATTTTAAATAAAATATTTCTTTTCCGTTTCCACAGAAGGCAGTGTAAATATCTAAATTTGGAAAGATTAAAAAACAAACAAAAAACAAAAACAAACATGTGCTTCAATTAAAAACGGGATACATCGACTTCAGAGTCATGATCTTCTTTATCAAGAGCACAAGCCCCAACTTCCAAGTGTTGACTCCCAGACGACGAGAACACCCCAGACAACCTTAATCTGCCACCAGCCACCTGGAATCCGTGAGAGGTAATGATAGAGGGTGAGGGGCTGATACACGGTGTCGACATTCGAGAATTGCTCAAATCAAACTGATCAAGTAGACTGACTAGTTCAGCTGGGGTCGGGCCGCCACCCAATACTTGTTTTTCCTTATTCATCATTTCAATTGCCGTTGTCAGATCCCACATCTGGATGCTGCCATTGGTGTGACCGGTGAAGAGATAACGCCTAGGGCGAGACCCCATTCGATTTGATCCTTCGCATTCATGAACGCAGAAAGCACTGATGGGGCTCAGATCAACAGATTTGATAACACAAACCCGTTGACCATTGGATGATAGCCGGACGAATAACTGGTCAGTCTCCGGTACGACACGCTGGACGAACACCTGCTGGTCATCTTGCTCGCCAAATGGCCCGGGTAGCTTGTCGAAATCGTGTCCACCTGGATAACTCATCTGATTGTCCATACCCTCCAATGAGACAATTTTGAACGAGGCTAGAGGGGTAGAACCTGGTTGGGTGGAAATCATACCCCGAAAACGAGTAACACTCCAAGTCCTTACATGATTGTATTCAGAACACACAGATACAAGATGTTTCTCTGATAACATTACTTTGGTGACGGGGCTACGGTGAACCGTAAACGTTTGAAATAATTGTGGACCGTGACCGACAGTCTCTGGATGTTGCACAATAACACGGACTGTTCCTGAGCTGGTGCCATAGGCAATTTCGATCCAGTTCCCGCTCAAGCTAGTTTTAGGGGTGAGGTAGACACTGAGAGCAGTAACCATGTCATTACTAGGGTCTTTGTAGAGTTCTGTGACAAGAAGGTCATTGTCTTTCATACGTAAAGGAAATTTTTGCATATCAATGTAATAGATAGAACCGTTGTTACACCCAAGTAACAAGAAAGAGCCAGCAGTGTCATAGCTTGTAATAGGAATTACATCTTGAATTTGCCAGTGTTGGGTCATTGCATGCCAAACTCCAACCTTTCCCGTCTGACTCAGGGCTACTAACTGACTTCCAATGAAGAATAAAGAATCAACCGATACTTTAAGGTTGAATGTTCCGATCTCCCGACTATCACCGTCATCAGTAACAGACCAGAGACGAATCAAATTCCCAGTTGAAGCAGCGACCATTTTGTTAGCATTATCCTGGTTTGGGTTCATCACCTTAGCATTAATGGCCACCCTGTCTATAGGCAGTTCCATGTGGGGACTAGTCCAGATAAGATGCCACCCGGTAGAGTCCTTCATGCGAAAGCAGGTGACAAAATGTGGGTAGGCAATGCAAATCCAATTGTGGTGGCCCCGTAGCATGGTCACCCGGAGAGGATCGATACATAGTTGATTCGATTCGAACTTGGTGTTTTTCAGGTCCCACGAAGAATTTCGTGAGTGCCGAAGGTCGGCTGACGAATTTCGAGAATGGCCTCGGGACCTGAGTTCCACAGAAGACCTTCGGGAATGTGGGGAGGCTCGAAAATCAGCAGAGGAATTCCTTGAATGTGATCCGCCATGTGGTTGGGATGATGCTGATGCTGATGATGAGGAGGAGGATGTCTGAGGGTGGGTGTTGCTACAGTTGTTATTGCTTTGGTTATTATTATTATTATTATTGATGTTATTGTTTATGCTGTTATTGGTTGCAATGGGAGCTGCAGGTTCTATTCTTTGGGCCACCCCGGGTCTTCCAAGTTCAGATTCAATTAAACTTGCCAAGGAATGAGACTGTCTTATATCCAGTGCTTCAGATTGAGGAGGCGATGGCGGAGTAAGATAACTGTGGAAAAGCACTCCACCGCAGGTTGGGTAATTGAGGTCCTCACACAATACAAGGCGTCGAATTAAGGGTGCAATTCCGTAGAATTCAGCCTCGTGTCGAAGAGTAGACAGATCGACATGTTTAAAGTCGACCTCTTTGGTTCTAAGAAAGTGCAAGATGCGAGAAAATAGATCTGGGTCGCGATCAATGAAGATCGCCCCAGTCTCGTCCCTCAAAGAAGAGATTCGTCCACTTAGTAGACTGGTAAAAAATGAATCCGGTACCCAAGTCAGTGTCTGTCGAGAAGTCGAAAATCGTCGTCCGCCGACGTTGAGGTGAATAATTTCCGACGACATTTTTCACGTGAAAAGACGGCAACTAAAAGACGAGACAAGACAGCCATTTGCAGTCATACATTTCTTTCTCTTTTAATATAATATAAAAACCGAATCGGGCCAAGTCGTCAAAATTTCGGTTAAATTTCAGTTGGTTTTTATTTTTTAAAATTAATCAATATATAATCTGGTTATTTATTTATTAAATTCTATTACTAGGATTGTTTATTTATCTACACTAATATTTAAATTTTGATGTTTTTATCAAATTATTTGTAATGTAGGCGGTGTGGATTTCGTTTCAGCGAAGAAAGGTATCATTTGTTATTCTCAATAAGAGATATTTTTAAATTTTTATTTATTTTTGTGATATAATTACATAATTTTAATTATTAAATAATCTTAGTATTTTTTAGTATAACAATATTTTCTTAAATTCAAAAATAGAAATTTTAAACATACTCGGACGGAATAAAATAATAAAAAAAACAAACAAACAAAAAGTGTAAATCATAATAGTGGTTTTTATTTACCAAGAGAAAAAATATTAGTTATTAATATAATAGATTATTTACCAAAATTTAAAAAAAAAAAGAAAAGATTTTTTAGTTTTTCAAATAATTCTATTCATCTATTCTAGTTAAGCAGTTATGTCCCTTGTAATTAAAACCACTTGTTTTTTTAGTTTATGTTTTTAGGCGCGGCTGTTCTTCAAAATTTGTTCTAGTGATGTGAAATATTATAGGACATAATTTATTGAACAAACATGATTAGACATACTTTTAATATCATGAAATATGGATACAGGTTAGAATTCTTTTACGTCAATTTTTAACTAGATATTTATGATCCGGTATTTCTTTCTTTTCTTTACAAAAGTAAATTTACACCGGTTTCCGGTCGTGGAAGTGACACGCAGCCCACTGAGAGTAGGACAGTATTTTGGCTGATGTTACTTTTAAAATTGTTGTCAATAGGGATCAGTAAACCCTACCTTTTTAAATCGAATTAGAAAGAAAACTGAAACACTTAATATTTATAGTTGTCCTGTTTTTTGATCAGCATTGTTGTTATTATGTGGTCCTTCTTCAGTAGGGATCCCGTTAAGGATTTTAATTACGATCTCGGAGAACCTGTCGCAAATTTTGAAGGTAAATCTCTGTGGACACTTCATCCAGGGAAAAAGAAGGTTTGTATAGAATCTATAGATTAATCTATATAAATCATTTCACACGTGTACAGTAACTAAAAAAGCAATGAGTAAACAATGAAAAATCAATTTTACTTTTATTTGTGTACACGTAAGGATGAATTTATAACATTATTTTAATTATTTTTTTGAGTCATCATTTGTTGTCACTTTGTTGACAACTTTCAAGTTGTTGGCTTTCTTTATCTTTTTTAATGTTTCATACTTCCAAAAATAGCATTTTATTTTTAAAAGCCATGTTTTACATTGCAAATACATTTTATGATCTTATTTCAAATTTTTGACACGTCTTTAAAAAAAGAAAACCAGTGTTTGCTTTTTTTTTGTTTTGTTTTTATTTTTTTAATAAGTGAATATATATTCGAAAAAATAAGACAATGAAAATAATAAAAATTAACTTGCAAGTTTTACTGTTTTTTTTTATTTCAGTTCATAAAAGACTTCGTTTAATTTTATTTCTAGATTGTATTTTTTTATTTATTTTCTTTTTAATTGTTATTTTGATAATTTTTTTTTTTGTTTTCTAAAAAAAATAAATAAAAATAACGCTGTTAGTTAAAAATTATAAATAAGGCGTGTTTATCATTATCTCGATCACATTTGTTATTTATTTTTAAATCATTATTCATAAGTTTTTGCTTACGTTGGCATTTTTATAATAAAAACCTTTTTTATTAGTTCAGACAAAAAACGGGACCTGAACAAGTACATAAATTTCCTTGATAAAAATATTTGTAAACTGCCTGGCTGGTATTTTTATTCGTGAATTCTGTTTTTTTTTTTTTTTTTTTTTTTTTTTGTGTGTGTATTTCATTACAATTTACAATTTTAATTTAAAAACTTAAAACAAAAATTCCGTCTATTCCTCACTGTAACAGTTTCTGCTTGTTTTATTTTTTTTTAACATTTTTTAATTAAAAAAAAATATTTAATGAATTTTTGGGGGTTCAAGTGAGAAGAAAAAAGTGGAGAAAGGTTCATTCAATGTGATGAGAAAACTTAACTAAGTCTTTCTTTAACTCTGACTATTATTTCCTCTTCTTTAGCCCTCTTGTACCGAAAGTTTAATAAAAGATTTTAACTCCTTTTCTGTACACACGTGTGTTATTTTCCTCCATTTGACTTTGTCACTTCCTAACAGTAACACTAATTCCCCAACAGCATGTCAACTTTATCAGATTAGGCCCAGGAGGGATAACTGAAGTCGTCGGAACAGACCCCAATTCAACGGGGGTGAAGAAAAATACGAAATTTGGGACATAAAGCTCCTAGGCCATTTACGTACACTAGGCCTAAAAGACGTCATAAGTGTAAACCTCATGAAGAAGACACAGAAAAGAACGAAGAAGCCTATGCTGAACTCCTACAATTCTTAGATGACAAAAGCTTGTTGCTAAAAATGAGAGAAGCTTCAGACAATGGAAGAAAAACCCTAAGAATACTACACAACCGCTATGCAAGAAAAGGAAAACCCAGGGTTATCTCAATGAGTTAACGTTACATAAAAAGGACTGTAACGAAAATGTCAATGAATACATTATAATACATCTTATAGCCCTGAGAAGTGCTGGACAAATAGTGGACGATGCCTTGATTATCACAATGGTACTAAAAGACTTATCAGAGTACTTTAACCCTTTTTCCATACATGTGTCTCACAACAGCAAAGAACTAACGTTCCAGAATTTAAAACCAAGTAAGACACAAAAACAACTCAAGAAGTGACAACGTAATGGGATTGACTTCCCCTTCCTCATAAATTACAAAGAAGGAAAACCACGTCAGGCAAGAAAGATGAATTGATACACAAGAATGGTACAAAATTCAAAATACATGTCCACAAAAGACTATATTATTTGATGACTGTAGAGATCATTACAGAAGACAAGGATGTTATGATATCCAAACATGGCACAAAACACTGGAACACTGCAATGACAATGCTATTGCTAAATTATCTGACGTAGTTGAAGGGATGAGAATAAAAGGAAAAAGTACTACTTTTGTGATGTCAACAAACACTTGTTGACACTTTTGTAATGTCTATGAATACTCGTCGTCACTTTTGTAATGATTGTTGTAGTAAAGACTTTGTAATCGCAGATACAACTATAGTAATGCCGTTGAACAATACTGGTGTCAGTCACCTTCAAATAACACTCGTACTAATAGTACTTGTTTGATAATAATAGCTTGAATAGTAACTGCCGTATAATGATCACTTAGACGTCATGCTAATTCTCATATATACATTTCTTTTACCATCACATAATCTACTTATTCAAAATGGGATCACCTGTGTTTGCTCTCTGATGACCTGTGTTCAAACTCCAGTGTTGGCAGTGACACCTTATTCCTATGTAACAACTACTAAGAAGGACTGTAAAATCTGCACTCTGTGAAAATTTTCCCAGAGTAAAACAGACGAGATACACAGACAACATTCATCTTTGAGTTAGTGCACATTGACCTCGCTGGACCCATAGAACCAATGGACAAAATGGGTACAAATATGCTATATCATTTACTGATGATTTCTCCAGTGCTCTATTTGTGTATTTCCTCAAAAATAAGAATGACATTATGTCAGCCACTGAAAAATTAATTGCAGATTCTTCTCCCTACACAGACCAAGCTCGACCTATAGAACCAATGGACATAAATGGGAAGAAATCCAGTATATCATTTACTGATGATTCTCCAGCATTGTATTCATGTATTTCCTCAAAAATAAGAATGACACTGTGTCAGCCACTGAAAAATTAATTGCAGATTCTTCTCCCTACAGTAAGATAAAAACACTGAGATTGGACAATAGAATTTAAATAAAACAGTTTTCAAACATTACTCTGTAAAAATAATATAATGCCTCAGCACTATATCACCCCATCAAAATGGCAGA